GTTGTCCTTCCGACTTTCACATAATAATACCTGTTGCCTTCAGATTTAGGCCTATAAGGTGTGGAGAAAGAGCTGTCATTAATGCAGGCAGGAGCTTCCACATAAAGAGGATCACTTACAAGATTTCCGCAACTTATGAAAAGAATGCTCTCCCAAACATAAACATCATTTTTATAAATATAAAAATAATAATAATAATAATAATAAGGATAATGAGAATAATATTGTGAAAACGTTGAGAAGTTAGAGGCGTCCCAGGAGTATTGAGGTATGGAGCAGCTCCCTTCCTCAACACTAGCATCAGCTACTCGAATTGTTTGATTGTCATAATTGATAGCTTTCACGTAAAATTTTCTTGATTGATCAGAGTACAATACTGTAAGGTTGTTCTCACAGAATAGAGTATATACTGGATCTGCAGTCATTCCGCAGGAATTAGGTGGATCTGTGTTTAATCTGAAAGGGTAGCTAATATTCGAATTATTTCCACAAGAAGAAGGTGGACAGTAATGCTTATCTTTGGCACTGCAGGTCTCATGAATTAAGGCGAGAAGAAGAAGAGCGACAAAGATGAGGCCTGGACTAGGCATGGGGAGGGGCAAAAGGTGTCGACAACTTTCAGGTCTTTAAACAATCCTGTGGTTTACAGGAGAATTGCAAGAACTTCTGGTCTTAAAACAACCACACACGCACTCCACCTCCACCAAAAAAATTTTTTAAAATTTTTTTTAACTACGTAATTATGGGGGAAAGGATTGCAGGTGAGGGGTACCAATCCCATATGGTTGACCTCCACCTTCCAACACTTGATCACCAGACTTTGGACTATTATTTATTTTTATTTTTATTTCTTCGAATGCGGAAAAGCATGATCAATTAAATCGAGATAGTTGTATCCAGGCCCGGCCCCAGGTAACTGGTTTTCTTGATTGTTTCCTTTTAGATGATGCTTAATTACGTTGCACCTAGACCTTCACTTTCTTGACAATTTGCAGAGCGTTGACTATAACAATCAACTTTAGAATTTTGGGTACAAATGGATACATCACTTACCTCACCCATATTGCTTGAATTTTCTCTCCAACTTTCAAATAATATGGGGGCAGGTCTGCTTCTGAGTTCTGATATCGAGAAGCATCTTGATGATGATGGTTTCTTGGGAGTTTTTGGGTATTGGTGTTTGGAAATTTGAAATGGGTCCTGTGAATTGATTTGGGGGGCAGAAATTGCTTGGCAGATGAATTCAACACAGAAAATGAAGAAGCCGAGGAGTTTAGGTTTGGTGGATCTGTTCGGTAATTGGCAGAGTATTGTTTGGGTTTTTTAATATGTAATTCAAACGTGTAAGTTAACAGCCTTTTTATATTAATTATTATTAAAAAAATAAAAGTTAATTTTCATTTAATAATGACCTAATTAAAATTGATGATAAATTAATATTAATTTTTATTATTTTTAATATTAATTAATAATAAAACGATGTATCAATTACATATTTAACTTGTACAATGAAAAACCCCTTATTATTATTGTTATTACTATAGCAATGTCTTGCAAAACTATTATTATTTTCATTATTATTATTATTATTATTATTATTATTATTTAGGAATGCTTATTGGATGCAATGTTGATTTAGAGGTCTATGTTGAAGCAAATCCATTTGATATATGAAAAAAAATTTAAGAATGGGATAACAGAAAATGGCAAACTCACATAAATCATAATATAATGCTCACCCTCTTTGAAGCACATGACAACAAAATAAGCCTATGAAATGTGGACCTGTTCAAAATAATCCTAACGCGTTATTCAAAATTAATGTATTTTAATATGGTATTAAAAGGCTAGCAGTAATTATCATAGTAGCCTATGAAATGTGGGCCTTTTCAAAGTAGTGCTAACGCATTATTCAAAGTTACGCATTATTCAAAGTTAATGTATATTAATATGGTATTAAAAAGTTAGTAGTAATTATCGAATTAGCCTATGAAATGTGGATTTTTTCAAAATAATACTACTGTGTCGTTATTCAAAGTTAATGTCTGTCATGGTAATTATCAAGTTAACTTATGAAATGTGGGCCTTTTCAAAATAATTCTAATGCT